CCCTGAACTGATGTAAAGCCCTTAAACTTTTTCACCAAATCTTGTAGGTGTTGATGTTGTCACATAGAAGCATTAAGAGGAGTAAAGGCCAGAGGGATTTGGTGTCTCACAATGGGCTCTGATGAAGTCAACTCTTACTGTGCTCTATTCCAGATGAACTGTCCAGGGCCTCTAGAGCTGTGATACGCTCCACCCCAGCAGTATTTTTGTTCCAGGGACCTGAAGGTTCCATGGGGGCCTTGCCAGATGATGTGAGTCCCCTGTGCTTTGGGGAATGTGTGCTCTGGCACACTTGGGACGTTCCTGAGTAAGGAAGGTGAATCTCGACCCAAGGTTGGCCATGGATCTGCCCGTACTGATGAACACAGGCACTGCTAATTGGACAGCACTCTTAATAAGCATTTAGTAGAAGCCTGCAGGGCTTGGTTCATTTATTCTCATTTCTTAGTCACTGGATAATGTATATTTTTGGAAAGATCTTTGTTTTTCCTGCAGGGTAGGTGGAATCCTTCCTGCCATGCTCTGTGGTCTTGCCGTGCAAGTGCTGCAGCCTCACTGCAAGCAGTGTTGAGAACTGGCACTCCAGGAGTGAGCAGAATGAATGGGAAGGCAGCTTCAGAAAATGATTCTGCTTAAAAGATGCCTGACCGTTGCAGTAAATTATACTTTTAAACCTTTGTTCAGTATATCAGACAACTCAGTGTCTCAACCCAAGTGTCACTTGAAGGCAGGATTGAAGTCTCAGGCTTTTTAATTCGTGTAGTGTGATCAAGAAAAGCTTACTTCTGATCAAAGCAGGAGCAGCCCAACTGCAGATGATCAAAGACCTAAGTGTTAGCTGATGTACTGAGAAACCAAATGTGTCTCTCACTGGAAAGCTCAGTAGGCAGCTCAGCTGGAGGTGAGGTTGCAATGGGGGATGTGAAGGTAAGAAAAGAAGAAAGGTTCAGTCAGTCAAAAATGGAAAATTACAGAGTGAATAGCATCTAATTCCTGGGTACTCAGTGCAGTGGGCTGTAAAAAACCAGTGCCCTCTGAGCACTTGCAGCTTGTGTGGTGTTCAGGCACAGGATTTGACCCTGGAAAAGTGTTGTGGGTTTGAAAGCTACAACTGACGTGAGCAGACGCAGAGCAGTGAGTGGTGTGTAGCACCCAGTGCCCTGGGAAAGCACAATCCTACGTGCAACTGAGCTGTTTGTTGTAATTCATTCACAGTTGTGTTCTTAAGGTAAAGAATCATGAATTCTTGTATTGGTTTTCCTGTAGACTTGTGACCTTTAAAGGGATAGAAGTTATTTATGTTTCGTCAGGGGCAGTGGAAAAATGCAGGGAGAGGACATTATGGTGGTGACAGATCAACTCTGTTTTATGGATAATAAAGCTTGACTGTCATTCTTGTAAAGCCAAAGCACAGACCTTTTCTGCAGCAAAAGGAGTAAGTAGTATAGTCAGGTTTGTCACTTGTCACTAATCCAGAACATAAATCAAAATAAACTGAACTACATCCTTGTTTCTTAGCTGGAGATCAGACTGAGGAGGATGATGGGGAGGACAGTTTCCATTTATGCTAATTAAGCTTTCTGACAGGCAAATGTATCTTCATTCACAGGGAACTACATGTTTTGGAGTGGGAGTTAATAAGCAGGAAGAGCTCTCAGAGACCAGGGAGTGGGTGAGACTGATGCTTCCTCTGGGGAAGTGTGGGGGCCTGATCTCCAAACACTCCCTGCAGGTCCAGACCCTTGCAAGATGAGGACGTGGGTTTAAAGGACATCTCTGGAGGTGGAGGGAACCCATGCCCCTTGTGCTAGGGCCTGGTGTTGTGCAAAAGCTGCACTCTAGGAAAGCACAATGTGAAGCACTTCTGTGGGAAGAGGTTGTCCAGTGCTCCAGGGAACAGCCTCTGCTAATATCCTCTAATATCTGCAGCAGGAGGAATCACTGTGAAGCAAATAAAAAGCATGAATACTCCTGGGAGAAAGAGAGAAACTTTTTTTCCTGAGTCTATTGACCAGCCACTGTCTTGAAAAATTCCCAATGCTGTTGCAGCGCCGTTGTTATGTGCAGCTGATGTGCAGAAGCATCCATAGCATTACAACTAAGGAGGGTTCAGTGGCTGTCTGTCTGCTCCAGTGAGGTTCAGGCTGAGGAAGGGCAGCCCAAAGGATGTTTATTCAATAGCTTGGCATCACTGAGCTCACTTCAGCCAAACTGACCCCATGGCCAGCAGCATTTTCTCCCCTCTCTGTGCAGAATGACGCTGCCATTGGTGTCCCCTGCCTTTGCTGCACGTGTCCTATCAGCCATGTGTCATCCAGCCCATCCCATGGATCCTCCCTCTGCACTTCCATGGGGTACTAAATGGTGAATTCAATGCTCCCAGTGGCTCTGTGGGGAAAGATGAAGCTGTTGTGAAAGTAGAGGCTTGCAGGACTGTGCTTTTTCAATCTATAGGCTCATGGAATAGCTCTGCTAGAAACGCAGTGTTGCCTCATGGATTGATTTCCTTTCAGATCCAGAAGTGGTTTATTTTTGACCCAATCATTTCCTTCTTAACCTTCTGCTGCTGTGGTAACACATCCTTTTTCATTTCTATTTTTGGTTTGTGGATTGAGTAAACAGGCAACGATCAAAGGGAATGGCTGGGACACAGGAAATTTCATCTCCATTCCATAAAATGACATCTTTGACTCCAGTGCCACAGGCTGAAGGCAGCTTTCCTGTGCTGTGGTGCTCCCACGTGACAGCATGTGCTGTTCAACATCTGAGCTGCTGCGCTCTAACCTAGCATCACAGCCAGAAGTGCACAGGAAAGATAAAAATAAATGTTAATCTAGATTTTTGCTCTGCTTATCTGTCCTGAGGCACATTCAAGGCACTGAAATGAAGTGTTGGGAGGCAGGTGAGGATGAGGCTGATGGGCATTGCTCATTCCTGCACACCCTGAGAAGCAGGAGGGGTGTGTGAGGTGCTCAGTGCTGTGTGGGGGTGTGTACCTGCCCCGTATCACTGTGTAGAACCTGCACGTCCAGGGTGCCAGCATTGCCTTACTCAAAGAACCAAAGAAAAGCATTGATTCTGAAAAGGACAGTCAGAAAAACGATTATTTCAGAGGATTAAAATGTTGTCTGTACTGGCAGCCAGAGGGTACTCCTTCAGCCCTGGAAAATTCTGTGAATTTTCTGTGAACTGTAAGAAATTCTATGGTGCTGTCTAAAGAGAGATTTTGGTTCAGTTTGGGGAAGTTGATCTGGGGTACATCCATGCAGGGCTTTGGCCTGGTGCAAGCAGGTGGGCTCTTAATCCAGATCCAGTTGAAGCCTCTTCCACAAATTGCTCAGCTCAAGCTCAACAAGGCAAGCACATGGGAGATGTGCCAGGGCAGTGGATTTCAGCTGCTCCTTAGCAAATGCTGGATGTCCACGTGAATAACTCAGCTGGAAGGAGAGCGTGAGCCTTTTGGTGAGAACCCAGGCAAAGATTCATGTTAGGTCTCCCTTCAACTGTCCTTTCATAGAGTTCTTACTGATCTTGAAATACTTTAATCACATATTTTCTTCTACAAAACTTATAAAAACACACGTTTTTTGCCTTGAAGGCCATACAAACATATTTACAAATAGCCACGTTTTTTGAGCTATTGGGTTCTTCTGACTTCTTTATTAGGAATTTTTTTGTTCTCCTGCCTCCTTTTAAGAATGGGTTTCCTCCTTTCAGTCTCAAGGTTTGAGCCTCTCACTGGATCACAGAAATGTTTGGTTTGGTGTTTGACAAAGCTGAGGTGGTGAAAACCTCAGGGAGAGGTGAAGGAGACACTTTCTAAAGTAGCACTTGACAGGACAGAAATATTCCCTCTTGAAAGCAAATTGTTTTGGGAGGCTCTTGGACTTTTTCCAGTTACACATGGGTCAAACATTAATTTTGATATTATTTTGCAATGACACAAACCTCAAATATTCCATTTCCAGTGATGGCTTGAATGGAGCTTTTCCACAAATCTTATCTTTATATTTCTCATTGAAGATTCAAAAATGAGTTCTTGGAGTTACAGCCTCATGAATTCCAGGATTTTAAGGGATCCATCAAAAGAGCTTTCTCTAGTCTTGTTCATAATACCTGCTCCTTCAGGTCACCTTCTCTTAGTTTTACATTGTCCTCTCAAGTGTTTCATGGGTATGTGCAGGTCTTAGGAATTAGGTTTTAATAGAGACTTCTAATGATTAGGAGTGAAACTAATGCAGAGCTTGGTTTAAACCCAAAATCTTGTTTGTCATTCCAATGCAGACTCATTGAGTTCATTTGTCAGCCTGGGCTTTTTCTTTTCCCTAAGCATGAGTAGCTACCATTGTGGTATTCTTCCCCTTCAGCCCAGTGACTAAGGTAAAGAAATTAGCCAGTAAAGTAAATATTTCTGTCTGTATTTTAATCAAGAATATCACTCTCATTTGTGCTGTGTCTGAGCATTCAAATCCTTTTGTTCTTAATTTTTTTCCCCAGAATATAATCCCTCTTTCTGTTCACTTCTAAACAGACCAAAAGAGTAAATCCCAGTGAAAAGCTCAGTTGCTCAGGAGCTATGGAATAGCCTCCACAGATGGAATACAACCTCTAGCACTTTTCTGGTACTGTTTTTTCCAACCCAGCACAGTCAGGCACCCCAAAGATGGGAACAGTGTCCCTTAAATGATCAGTGCTTTTGCCCTGACTTTCAGCTCCAGCTGCCAAGTGCTGACTGCTAGAAAAGTTAGCTGGTCCTTGTTGTTGCTTCAGGATTGATGATCTCCTGTAGGAATGGACAAACTGGGCATGGGAGACTGTTCTAGGACCAGCAGGGACATCTGTACTTTCCTGTGAAGCAACAAGCTGCCTATGGGCCAGGCAGTCAGCCTCAAGTTAGGAAAAAATCATAAATGACAACTTTCAGCAAAATTCTGTTGATGTGCAAGATAATTATTCAAGCCTAAACCTTATTTATGATATCTTTTCTTGTCCTTCCTCAGGTATTTTGAGTTTTATGAAGGGCCTTTGGAGTACAACTCTACAAAATGCCTGGAATTAAGGCAGGACATCATTGAGGTGAAGGTCTTGTCTATGTAAGTATGAGCTAAATGTAAAAAGTAGAAGTACTTAGCAATAAAATCATTGCTAAAAGTGTTACTTCTGGGGCACGATGGAATGGTATCTTACAATTACATGCCAAAAGGCTCCAGAGGTGACATCAACAGGGATCTCAGAAGGGATCTCTAGCCTTCTCTTACCTGTGCAAGCAGTGTTTGGATTTGATCTGAGTTCCATTTATAGAGCAAGGAAGCTTTTCCCATACATTGAGACATTTTGGTCAGGCCCACAATTGTTGTTGAGAATATAACACAGTGTTTGTAATATCATATTTTCAGTAATTGAAGGGTAAGAACAGCCAGACTGACTCATGCACGTGTCTAGCTTAAGGCTCTTTCATTGACAGTGGCCAGTAGTGAAGGCTGAGAAAGAAAGAAAATGTTCAGCCCTTCCTGATAATAAATATTGGCATGGGAACGTGTGGACTGGTAGAAGGAGTCCAGAACAGAGTAATCAGAATGGACAACAGACCTTTCTATTAATTTGTTTGGATATTTTCTGAGCCCATTTGTATTTCTGACCTTTTCAAACAGCAGAGTTTCACAACTCAAAACCCCTCAGTGAAAAGGTAAGAAAACGTGATTCTGGGAAACAATAAAATACCTCTAAATTGTGTTTTGTGGTCCAATAAGTATGTCAGGAAACCAATGAGTTGAATGAGATGTATGTATGAAGCCACAGTGAAGGAACTGAGTGAAAAAAGTGAGTTTGCCAGTACGACAGTGCACAGCTGGGCAATTTTAGTGTTGCCTTTTTGCATTTTTCAGCATTTCACTGTGTTTAGGTGCTTAACTTATGCCTGATCCCTCACCACATCTAAAGCAAATGGTTTATTAATGTTGCAGGCAATGCACAGGGTCTGAAAAGTGCACTGGGAATGTCAGTTCAAAGTGCAGCTCCACACGTCCATAACATTGAGCAGCCAGGGCTACAGAAAATACAGTTTGTTGCTCCAGGTCTGCACGAATCTGAGCGTGCCTCCCTGACTGACTCTGTGCACAGCAAAATGTAGGTTATGTCCTTGCCTCCTGCACTGGATGAAGGGTACACGAGTAACACACTTTGCACGGCTTGCTGACTCGCAGCGCTTAAAAATAAAAAGGAGGGGTGAGAATGTCACACTTCTCCAATGTTCTGCTGAAGATCAGGAGCTCTGATTTGTTTTTTTTCTTTTTGCATGCACAGAGAATTCCTCATTTTTCTTCCTCTTACTCAGGGGCCCAAGGAAGGTAGTGGAGTCCTGCTCAGCTAGATACAAGCTACCCTAAATTCTACAGTAGATGCCGTTTGACATTAAACTCTTTTACTCTGCTGGTCTCTTCTGATGTTCTTGATTCAAATGTGCTATGTTTCCCACGTCAGCCCTTATGGTAATGGAAGATTTCCAAGTTAATGTGCTCTGGTGGGCTACAGAAAGTACAATATGACCTAATTCCTTCCTGCAACTTCCTCAGCCTGGGAAATGCTCGGTTCTACTCACATTAAATATATAATTATCTTAAAAGTCTATGCTTTATTCAAACATTCAAAGCCCTCAAGTCTGAAAAGAACTCATTAAGACCTATCAATCTAGCAGAAATCACAGACTTCCAAATTTCTTAGCCAGATTATACAGTTGCTTCCTACCTCTAGATATTTGCAAAGCCTTCATTATCTCTGTTGTCCAAACGTACCAGAATATGTGCGAACTTCAATGTGGAATTTCTTGGAATTGGTGATATCATCAAAAAATGAGTCATCCTGTACCAGCTTAGTTGAAATAGGAGTGAGGTTTTTTTGAGGGATTTTGTTTTGGTTTGGTTTTTTTTTTATGTGACTACAGGTATACTGATTAGCAGAGGAGGAGGTAGAGATCCTTATGTAATGAGCTTTTCATTTCCCCTTACCATCACAGACTCTTATCCCTACATGTGAGCTTATAAATTGTTCATAAAATAAATTTACCCACAGTGTTGTGCTGTAGGATCTCACAGGTCAAGTTAACCTCACCAAAATGCAGCTTTAGTTGGCCAAATTAATCCCCTTTTCCAATATCCCCCTCCTGGGCCCTTCTGTGGGTGCACCTTTTTCCCAAAACCCAGCTGACTGAAACTCATTTGCTTCCCAGCAGATTTTGGTAGAGTGGCTGCTTCTTGCTCAATATTGCATTTTTTTTATCCTGAAAAAAGCAGAGAAAGCCTATCAGGGAGAAGAAATCAGTCCCAAACATCAATTCTTGCATGCACTGGGCTTGGAGTGGCTATGTCTGAGCAGAAAAAGGAAGAAAAATTATAAATTTTGTTCTGTTGAGACTGGCTGATTTGTCCCATCAATTTGTATGGTATTCTATCTGCAGCTGTTTTAGGAAATTAAGCCCTTGTAATAAACTTAATTTTTCTTTTTTTTTTATATTTTAGGGTGAAACAAACTGAATTGTTTGACAGATGGAAGAGCCTACAGATGTGCAAATGGGAGATGAATGTCACAGAAGCCAATTTATTCAAGTAAGAATGTCTCAAATTAATGAGACTGGGTAAAATTTACTTTGGTTTGAGCTTAGCTTCTTGCAGAGATCAAAATTTCACATGGATACCAAGAGTAAGCGTGACAACATTTGGAATACCATCCTTTTGAATAAATGTGGACTTTCCCCCCTGCTTTAAAAAAAACAACTCAGCAATAAGATTTCTGGCATGTGGAAAAGTCTTCCAGGAAAGGCAAGGAATTTGATGTGGGAAAGACTTCCAGGTGTTATTTGGGCATCAGTGAGGATGGACATGAGATTTAATGGCTGCACCATCATGTCAGCCTAATTGTCTGGCTTGGAATGGTAATATCACTGGTGATACTGCAAATTTGGCCTACAAAATACTCAAACTTGATTTCTTCTGGGTGTTTTAGGTACCTTGGTTTTAGTCAGACCTTGGTTATGACTTTCTCTGGTTGTTTGGTTTTTTTTATAATGGCTTCTCAGCTATTACTCACAGATTATCTACATATTTTTTCTGGTCTTCAGAGACCTCTCAGTTAATTTCTGTAGTGTTCTGTCTTTCTTCCTGTAACTTCTCTGCTTAGGGTCCTCCTCTCAAGACACAGCTTTTGGAGTGAAGGCAACAGTGGATTGAAGCCAGTTTTTTGAATGTTATATATTGATATATTCCAGTGCCATATTTCAGTAGGTTTTGAGAAAACAAGCTATTTCAGGGTAAGTGCTGTAGACTGAAGTCTGCAAGTCACTGGTACAATTCAGAGATGTTGTTTGTAATAAGGCCCCCAGCTTTATCCAAATTCTCTTGCATGATTCCAGGAAATAGCTGTCAGGAGTTAATGAGAGAGTGTGAGAATGCATGTGCTGAGTTAGTCATTGACATCTTTAAAAATAACATTGTTAGTCTCAGACTCATAGCAGTTTCTCCAATGTGATCTCCACACCTAAATTTTTTTAGGTGTTTGGTTTTTGTTTGATTTTTCTTTTCCCCTGCATTTTTCCTGGAAATTACTTGGTAGGCAATTATCAGAACCTGTTTTGAAGAGGAGAGTCATTCAGGATTGCAGCTCATTATTTTAAAAACAGCTGGAGTGAGAGGAGTAATAATTATGCCCAGAGAGAAAGCAGCACTTTGAGGTATGGGAAGGAACCCTTTGAGCTTTGGAGGCCAGAGCAGAGGTGGGAGCAATGAGAAAGGAGTTTCCAAAGACCACCAGGAGGACCATCAGTCTATCTCAGGCCACCAACACCAGCACATTAAACAAAGAACCCCTCTCCACCCTGTGCACTGAGAGAAAAAAGAGATGAAGGACTCCTGTCACTGCTTCTACCTGCTTGACTGATATATCACTGCTCCAGGAACCCTCACTGGCACCCAGATGTAAACATAATCTCTGTCAGCTGGTTTCAGGACAACAGTAGTGCTTGTAATTGAAAAGGAAAAAAAATGTGTAAAGCCTATTTCATCTGTGTTCAGTGGGGCAGAGACATCAGTGTGTGAGTTTGTGGGGAAGATGCTGTCCCTTAAAAGCAAACCAGGGTCTCCGAGTTTGAAGGCTGTTTAGGAGGAGGATGAAATGTGTAACCCTCCAAGCTGTGGGATTTTGAGCTTTGCCAGTCCAGTCCCACCATGTGAGATAGGGAGAATCCAGCAGCTTTAAATGGCAGATACTTGAGCAGCAGAGAGGGATGAAGGGCAAAAATCACAATAAAGTTTGTACGTAGAGACTAAGGAAAGCAGTTTCCTTGAAAATCTTCTTCCATCAGATATCAGGCATTCACAAAAAGGACAGTGCCTCTGGAAAACCAGCTGGACATTAAGGAAAAACATCTCTTCCAATTCCTTAAGGAGCAGCCAATTAAGAGGTTTTTCTCATATCCCAACTATAACAATTCAATTCCTTGAATCTGTTTGTAATTGTTTTTGCTGTTAGACATTATTCATTGACTTTTTCAGTCTCATTTGCTGCCTTGATCTGATGGTCATTTTGTGCCATCCTGCATGAGTCAAGTATATGAGAGTAATTGGACATCACTGAAATGTTTGCATAATTCTCTATTTGCTTTCTGGTGCTTGTAATAAAGCCCATAAAGAAGACAGGCTTATTCTTCCAACTGAGAATATGAGGCCACACACCCCAGAGGCAAGGCATTTAATCTGGGTTATTTGAGAGCCATCTGGCTTTGCCTTCATGCTCGTACATTTGCCATGACATGTATTTTTTGCTAAAGGTATCAAACACATTGACTGGGAAATAAACCATCTCTGGAATAAGGGTGGGCAAAAGCCAGGGCTTCCAGTGCCACCAGGGAAAGAAGAAAAGCATCCAGGGCAGGATGGGAGGTGGAAAAGGGAATCTTATTTACAAAGCTGCTTTTCCCATCTACATTTCATGTGTGGGGGGGGGGTTTTAGTTTTTGGGGTATTGGTTGTTGGTTTTTTTGGGTTTGGATTGAAGGTATTTGAGATGGTAGTTTATGTTTGGATTTAAGTGCTTATTTTTTTTAATTAGTAAAACAGATTCATTACTGTGCGTTTGGCAGCTTTTTATTAGAAGGCAGAAAATGGTTCACAATCTTTTGTTATATGGTTTTTTAAGACTAAATATTTAATTAAGAATTTACACTTAGATTATTTTTTTCTTTTAACTTAATAACTGATTCTAAAAAGTTTGTAACGTGGATTTTTTTTTTTTTGTCTAATTACAAAATGTTACTTAAACTTACAAAAAGAAGGAAGAAAAGCATGAAGAGAAACTTAGGATGACACTTTGTATTTTTTATTTTGCTTCCATCTACAACATACTAAAAATTTTAAAACTTTAATTTTTTACTAAGTGATACACTAATTTCTATAATTTATTCTACACTTTTGTAGATTTTAGTCTATTTTGAAGTCCAGGAAACTTTTTATATGAATGAGGGTTAAAGTTAGTGCTCCCTTGGGGGTTAGGATACTTAAGAGTAGACAGAGAAATATTTTTGGTGTTGTAGGTTTCTACAATGTGAAACACAGCAAAGGGATCAGAGCTGAATGTTTTTTCGCTCTTACTCTGAATCCCACGTTTGGGATTTTATGCAAAAAAATTTTGGTCATTAGTCTGAGATTTTTGATTTTTAGGCATGACCAGTTTGCCTGGCACCAATCTGTCGGGGCCACATCACCTTCCTGATGCACACATGTGCAAGGCTAAGGGCAAAATTAAGATTTTTGAAGTTTTTTTTTTGTTGTAGCCAAAGTGTGCTGTGCTCCACAGCAGTCTGTCAAGTGGGGCAGTGTCTTTGGGTATTGCTATGTTTAAATACTGCCCTGCCACATTTCCATGTCTCCAGAGGGACTCTTGAACTCCTACATTTCCTGCCCAGTGATGAGTGTATAATTCATGAAATGGTGAAGATGTCTAAAGCAGAGAGGGACTAATTCACTGATGTGGTTTTGCCAGGATATGGGAGGCAGAAGTTCATCTCTGGGGCTAGAGCAGGGCATAACTTGAACATGAATTCCCCACAGCTAGGAGAGACAAGTATAGGTATCTAACTTACTCTCTTTTCTTTTTGTTTTGCCACAGTTTTCTCAATCTAAGAAAATTTCTCCAAATCTGAAGTTTTCTGAATGAAAATCCAGCAAACCACCATTTTACCCATCCCAGAGCTAAAAAATTTCTTTTTGGTGAAAAATACCTTGTTAGGAGTAACAGCAATTGCAAATCCTGTGTTATGCCATCAGCTCCTTGATCTTATTTCTTTTTCATTTCACAGGTCTACTCTGTCAAGGTGTTGCAATGCCCCATCCTTTCTGTTCACCACCCAGAAAAATACTCCCTTGGGAACTAAACTGAAATATGAAGTGGACACGAGTGGAATCTTTCATATCAACCAAGAAATCTTCAAAATGTTTCCAAAGGTGCCTTTACCCATTTGCAGGATCAGCTTCACTGTACTTGCTGCATTAGGCACTGTCCTATAGCCAAGCATTTAGCACTTGTTTGACATTTCTACAGAATTCACTGCTTTTTTTTTTTTTAATATGATATTTTAGATGATTATTCTGTTTTCTGGGGTCATCTGCAAAATATATACATACGCATTCATCCATATATATATATATATATATATATATACACACACACACACACACACACACACACACACGCATATATATATATACACATATATATATATACATATATACACACATATGTATGTAATTTCTTGCAGAATATTGCTGACTTAGGAGCAAAGTGGATAATGAAAATAGAAAGCTAAATAAAAGAGACACTGATTTATCAGAACTCTTTCAAAGTATAATATTCACATATAGTAAATCCAACATTTGAGGGTAGGTCTGATTTTCTTTTTGGGGGGATTATTTTATAATTCCTATTCACAATGACTATTTTTATACTTATTTCCCTTCACAGATTATCTGTGAACAGGCTTCATAATTTTTAAATGTATTCATTATAATGATTACTCAAAGCCTTTCCAGCAAATAACACTTGACCTCCAGGGGTACTCAAGGTTGTAATCAGTGGGCAATTCCCTCTGCACAGAGTGGCTGATGAGCAGGAATGGGCTGATATGGCTGCAGATTTATCACAGGGCACACCCCTTCAATTTACAGCAGCATACTTGGAGGGGGTGGCTGAAATTGATCCCTTTTGAAAAGTCAGACCTATATTCAGGTTAAGTACTTAGATTTGTGCCACTGAAAGCACAAATCTAAGGGTCCAAGCACTTCTAATCCTTTGGCTTTCTGAGCACTGCTGAGAGGAAGGGAAGTGTTGTTGTCTGAATGTGCACATGGGGAGCAGGGGCAGAAGCAGGGAAAGGCTGGGATCCAGGAAAGCACTTTGGCATCTGGAGATGTGCAAAGAATGGGTACATCTAAATCCAGGACTATTATCCTCAAAACCCTGCCTGATTAGGCAGATGAGTGCATCAAAGTCTGAACACCTGAGATCTGCTAGGTTTGTCCTGGATGATCAGGATGCTGCGAAGGCATCATTGCATGCCAAAATGCCTTTGGGAGTCACTGGGCAGTGACCAAAGCCACCCTCTGCACAGGAGCAGGGCTGTAGCCTCTCACATGTAGGAAATAAAGGGCTGAAAACACAGAAGCAATGCTGTAGGAGCGAGAGCCTTGTGCTAAGCCTGGACACCTGGCTTCTGATTTCCCTTCCAGGGCTGCCAAGGGACTGTGTGTTAAGAAATCACTGCATAAAGCACAGACAGCTCCATATTTCCTCTCTGTCAGACAGCTGCTGCTTTTCTCAGACAGGTGTGATTGCATGCCCTTTTTGCCTCATGGCTTATGGATGCCATGGAAAGATCCTGGGAATAATCACCCAGAAATGTCAAGCCACTCTTGCATCCCTCTGTAGTTTGCAGCGTGAGATTATTGATAAAATATGTATGTACCAAAAACGAGCACTCTCATGCTTATGTAAGCACATCCCTACATATTCATAAGGTGTAGCATGGCTCAGTTCTTCGTCACAGCCCTCTCACCCTAACAGCCCAGTTTGTTCTCAGGATGTGATTTTCACTCTCTGGCTCCAGCAGCAGCTGCATCTCTGTGTGAAGGCAGGATTTTTCCCAAAGATTACAGGAGGATGCATCATCCACAAGTCCATAAAGGTGCCTGACCAAAGGCAGTGCTGGTAGTGCAAATGCTAATTAATAATCATTAACACTATCAGAACAGTTACTGGTAAGCAGTAAAATTTGGCCTGCTTTCTGCAATGTGCTGTCTGAGAGACTTCTTGGGTTTTACTGGCTGCCCTGGAGCTCTGTGTGCAGACTTCCCAAAAGCAGGACACCAGAGCCTGAGGAGCCAGCAGTTTGCAGGCAGCTCAGAAAACAGTGCCTGAGCTACACTAATTCATGGTTTGTGCCCTCACGTGGAAATCAAAGGGGAAAGCAAATGTCTAAAATTACTCCTTATGTTATTGAACCTGGGGAAAAAGAACAGGTTATTGGGGCTTTTTTATTACATTTGAGTTTGTTGCCTGTGCCATCTCTAATTGCACAGCGAAATATCCCATCACTTTGTGTAGAGGGAATATTGCACCCCAGAACCAGTGTCAGCATCCTGTGGTTAATGCATCAAGGTGCAGCTGCAGGGGAAAAACAAGAGGAAGAAGTGAAAAGGGGGATTGTTGTGTCCATGTTTTGGGGCCTTTAACTGTTTCCTTGCCGTGCTGTTGCAGGACATGCCGTACCACCGCTCCCAGTTCAAGAGGTGTGCAGTGGTTGGGAATGGAGGAATTCTGAAGAACAGCAGATGTGGCCGGGAGATTGACAGTGCAGACTTCGTGTTTCGGTAACCACCACGGCTCCACTTTCCTATTTTTTTTGCCTTTTCCAATGACAAATGGAACATTGAGAAGCTATTCTCTCTCGCGTGGAAAACATGACATTTGCTAAATTGGCTGTGTCAAGCCTGCTTCTTGCACAAAAACCTGTATTTCAAAAAATCAACCCCAAAACAATAATTAAAAAAAGCAAACAAAAAAACCCCAAAACATCTTACTTTATAATATATTTTTTTAAATTAAGCTTTGAGGAATTATTTCTCCCAAACTCCATGGGGTTAATCTGACTTACTGGCAAAGTCTGATGCTCTCTTTCAGGATATTCCCTGCCACTGAGGTTGTGGATTTATCCTTCTGTGGATATTACCCTATAAGCAGTGTCCTATGAGCTTGGGCATAATTTTCTAGGGCAGATCTGAGCCAGAGGTACAGCCTCTACTGAGTGACAAGCAGCTTGGTCAGATGTTAATAGCTCACAGCTGATGTGCCTCAGAGGTGTTTCTGGACTGGTGCAGAGCTCAGGTGCTCAATAACAGGATTTACTGTAATCAATAATCAATCCAGGGTCTCCAGAGTCACCAGAATAATCTTAAAGGTTAAGTGTCTTCACTGCTCCTCACTATATGTAGAATTACCCAGGTTTTGCATAAACTGGGATGTCCCACGATGAGTGTCCCTGGATAAGAGAGTCTAGCAGCAGTTTTATAATCCTTAATATATATGAGAAAGATTTTTTTTTGTTATTCATATGCATGACTAATCCCTCTCTAAATCCTGTTAAGCTCTTTGCCTGGGTCATGGCATATGACCGCTAGCTCAGAGATTCATGACTTGTTCTCTAGAAAAGAAAAATCTCTTTATTTCAGTTGGCCTATTTTCTGATCTTGGGTATGTTGTTGTCAGTTTAGAATAACCATGTGTAAAACAAATAATTGCTCTGACTTCACACCAGCAAAAATTAGATCAGATTTTGGTTCAGTGCAGTCTTAAATTAATTTGACATCATATGAGAAAATTTTACGTTCAGGATTCATTATTTTCAGACCCCTGCGTCTGCCTCCTATTCCAACTTTACAGAAAATTATTATCTTAGTTTTCAATGAAAAAAAAAGTCTGCGAGAAAGTCCAGGCTTCACATAACTTCTTTCTTAAAAGCCTAATATATTCCATATGCATTAAATAATTACTGTAGATTCTCTGCTGTTGTGTTGGATCACAACCATAAGTATGGATGAAAGGAGCAGCCCATGTGACACACAGAGATGGCAACCTTTTAAGAAGAAGTTGAAATATGTCTGGCAAATCTCATTTGTCTTTAAGGACTTTTAGTAGAGGTCCTGTTTTACCACTGCTACTCTTCCTTGGACAGTATCAAAACTGGCGAAAAAAAGAGGAGATCATTACAGAACTTAGAAACTGGGTTGTGTTTGGTAACTGTAACAACTAAACAGAGGTTTAGTCTATAGAACTGGAATATGAATAAATATATCCATGCCAAAGAAAACCCTGGTTCACCATCTCAAAAGTATGGATTATGCAAAAAGATGCACCAGTGTTTTAAAAGCCAAGGTCAGTTTTAAAGTAAAGCTTGTGTTCAAGGTCAGGTGTGAACACATCTGCTTTCCAGTCCACCAAAGTATCAGGAATCATCATCTGGGCCACCAGTGAAATTATATAAAACATTTCACAAGTGTTTATGGAGCCCTGATTACATTAATTGATACCTTCAGAACACTTAGGGAAATCTTTTCTTGTGGCCAGCAACATGCAGCCAGGATTGTTCTGTGAAGTAAATTCTGAAAGCAATCAGTTACAGTACAATAGAATATATAAAATACTCACCAGGATTGCATTTACCAGTAGTTATTGTCTGTCTCCATCTACTGGCCAGAGGGGACCTCTGTGAATTTAGAGATGGGACTGCTCTCTTGGTGAGGATGAATTTTTGGAGTCTTGTGACAAAAGTACAACTTGTGCAGATGGGACCATTTTTATAAGGCATTTTCACCTTCAAAAAAATTCAGTCACTCTTAGTCCCGGTGTGAATTTCCTGTTCAGAAACATTGAAGCTGATTATCTGAAAACCCTTCTCAAATATCATCTAAGCACACTGCCCAGTGCTAAGTGATACTGGGGGTGCCAAAGGACTTGAGTGGCATGACCCAGCAGAAGAAAGTACTAGAAATGGCATTGTCTATTAAAAGGATAGCCAAAACCAATTCTCTGGCTAGATAAAAATGGACTATCTGTAAGGTGGATGTGAACCTTTTGCATGTTAAAAGGACTTTGGAGGAATTTTGTGCATTCTTCTCCTCCCCAAGCTGTCTTCTCTCTTTGACTGAGAAATTTTCCTGTCAGCTGAACTGTGGTATTGTGAAAACAGTAAGCATCTCTTACCCTAAATACCATCACAGTTTTTGCTCAGCCCTGTTCTTCAGAAATAAGGACGACTTTGAAAATTAGGAACAGCAGTATCTTTGAGATGTGGGGGCCTTAACAGTGATGGTTTTAATTGAGACTTGCGGGTCACTTCAAAAAGCTTTCAAAGTGTCACTCAGTGCCTAACTCAAGCTTAAATTGAGTGTAACACCAGTTACAAGGCCATACATTTTATCCCTGAAAACACATGCTGAAGTTTTTTTTCAGCTGGATTTCCTCTGGAAGGAAAGACAGCATGATAACTTGTGAGTGTGCATTTCAGTAACTTCAGCATCTCTTGAGAGATGCTCTAAATTTTGTGAGATGATGTATCTAGGACAAGGCCAAGGTGAATGGAGGCTGGGTAAAGTCAAGGCTTGCAAATCTCACAAGTTTGCTTCCAAAAACTTTGATGTCCTGTGGTGAACTTGTAGAGTCAGAATTGCTGCTATTACACCATGTTGGGAGATGCTTATAAATGGAAAAGGAAGTGAAGCAGATAGTTTGGGATTAATTAGGTCTGGATTGATTTCTCTCTTGTGGAACATTTCCCCTAAATTCTCCTGGGTATAAACTGAAGCATCTTAAAGGCAGTGTTTTACATATAGTTTATTAATTATTGAATACATCTCAGCTAGTGCTCAGCAAGCCTTTGATTTTATAGGCTGATTGGCCTTGGAGCTTCAATCCATTTTGCATCCTAAACTGCCAGAGTAAATAGATAAATTGCTGTTAAGAAGGCAAAATGAGCCTTGGCTACACCTGCAAAGAGGGATAATCTCTTACAGGTGAGGGAATAAGAGAGGTCTTCACACAGCCCTCAAGAACTTGTTAGATTATTGCACAGTTTGGGAATCAACATGCTTTGATACAATTTTAAATTCTCACTCTGTTTCTAGATTTGTTGCTTGGCAGAAATGCTTAAATAAATTTTATTTACTAGTCCTGAAAATACATTTTTAAACTTTCTTACTAATTTCTCTTTTTTATAGATGCAATTTGCCTCCTATATCTGAGAAATACTTCATGGACGTTGGGGTGAAGACTGATGTCGTGACTGTCAATCCCAGTATAATCACTGAGAGGTCATTTCTGGTTTTTTTTGTATTTTCATTTCTCTTGATTTCCCAAATCTACCTTCAACTTAACTCTGTTACATAGAATTTTTTACCAAATCCTACTTTATACCATCACTATGAATCATACATTTCATTCTGACTTGAATAAGTAACAAGTTGTAGAAATGTGTTAAACACTTAAACCTGCACTTTGATGATAGAAAGTGGAAAGGCAATGAGCTAAAATCAAATTAAAACAACAGAGCCATCCTTCCCCTGCTCTGCTTGCAAGTCCCAGTCAAACATCTTAGAAACATACAGGGTGAAAGAAACTGGATCCCGCCTGAAATGCTGAAGTCATAGAATCAGAGTCATCAACTTTGGAAAAATAAGATCATCAAGTAAATAAAGTAACACACATTGTCACATATTTTAAAGAAATGTCAGTGAAACTTTACTGTAGACAGGATTGACTAGGTGATTTTCTTTTTAAATTTGTTAATTTAATGCCCTAATGCTACCTTGTGACATTTTTGGGACCATAAGGCTCATTAATGTTTTCCTCTCTTGATGGGGGGAGGAGTTCCTTTTCTCAAATAAGATAAATTAATTTGTTTGACTTTGGATTTTTTTTAAAAATGTTACAGTTAGACATTTTAAGCACTTGCTAGCTTTGGTGTTGGCCACTTTTTTATACAGCCCTGCACTGCATGGTGCACTGAAGAGGGTCCTCGATCAGAGAGTTGGCTGAGTAACGACAACCACACCAATGTGGCTACATGTTGTTCTCCTTTATTCAGCAACTTTCCATATTTATTCCTCTCTATACATTGTCTCACACCACTAGTGATTCATGCTCATTGGTTAAGCAACTATAGTTACATACACATATTAATTACTGATTGGTTGTCACACTGTAAGCATCTTTACCTAAGGTGTGCCAAATTAGCAGTTTCCCACAACGTGCTTGGCATCTAGTCACGTCTTGGCACAATGCTTGTTCTTCCTTGTTGGATCCATTTGAGGTCAGAACATGGTATGTCTTGTTACGAGGACAGTACATGGTCTATCTTGTCCTGAAGACAGCACATGGTCTTCAAAGTAACTCTGTAATCTGCAGGCCAGGGTTGTCCAACTCATGTAGGAGCACAGCATGGCCTTGTTCTGCTAAAAATCCTTCTACAGTGCACCACGTAGCTTGGAAAAATTTCTTACTTCTAATAATATCATGAGAAGTGTGGTCTTATTAGAATCAGAAATGGCCACAAGGTTATTATGAAGTTATTATGAATTTTAAAATTTTTTTTAATTAAAAAAATTAAATATTTTTAATATAAAAATTTTTTTTAAAAGTTATATTTTTAGTAGTTTTTTAGAAGTATATAATTTCTACCCCACTTTTCATGCTGATGCTGTAGCTACGAATCCAAGTACATTCCCGTTGATAACAGGAAGCCATCAACGGGAAGAATCATCTCAATTTTCCCTGTGTCAGAAATATTTCAGTAAAAGCCCATTGGGTGTCTCTTGCTGGGAATGGACTGACCACCACTCACACCCTCTCCCCTCCAGATTCCACAAGCTGGAGAAGTGGAGGAAGCCCTTCTACGACGTGCTCCAGGTGTACGAGAACGCCTCCGTGCTGCTGCCGGCCTTCTACAACACGCGCAACACGGACGTGTCCATCCGCGTCAAGTACGTGCTGGACGACTTCGAGTCCCAGCAGGCAGTCTATTACTTCCACCCCCAGTATCTCATCAACGTCTCGCGCTACTGGCTCGGCCAGGGCGTGCGGGCCAAGCGGGTCAGCACCGGGCTGATCCTGGTGACTGCGGCCCTGGAGCTCTGCGAGGAGGTGCACCTCTTCGGCTTCTGGGCCTTCCCCATGAACCCCTCAGGGATTTTTATAACTCACCACTACTACGACAACGTGAAGCCTCGCCCCGGCTTCCACGCGATGCCCTCAGAGATATTCAACTTCCTCCACATGCACAGCAAGGGGATCCTGCGGGTTCACACGGGGACCTGCAGCTGACAGGGACACTGCCAGAGTGTGGCGGGAGCTCGATGGCCTGTGTATGGTGTAGGAGGTTTTGTTACACCCCGAGATTATGCAATAATTGTTTGATATAAATTTCCTCAAGGCGTTGCATCCCATAAGATCTAGGACACCAGCATCTTTCCTGCTAGCAGAGTTGGGTCCATAACAGTGTAGGAGAAGCAAAACTCCTGTGCCCCAGGGTACACGCTGTCCTGGAAAGCAAGTCAGATAAGAAGCACATTTACAATACATTTAGGGATAAATAGAGCACATTAATATAGTTATCATTTCACTATGGAGAAAAGCACCAAACTTTTGAGGAAAAACAGAGGTGGAGAATTTTAGCATAGATTATCAGACTTTACATAGGTTTCTGAATTGAGTACCTTGGGGTATTGCCAGATGTTATTGAACACTCTGTTCTCTGGCCTTTAGATTTTTGAAAATACTCTTTAGCATTATAGCTTAATGGGGATATATAACTTAAAATCTTTGTTCTGTAATGTCACAAAGTGTTGATCAAAAATAGCAGATAGATGTGTTAGGAATAAACAAAATCACTTTATGAATTTTTTCAACCAGGATAGAACAGAATGTTGAACTCCCATTCACAGCAACAGGTAATCTGTTGAAACTGTGTGAATCATGTTGTGATACTGTTTTAGAAATAGTTTCTTCTTCCTTCTTGCGCCTTGCATTTCTGTTCTCCTCTGCTGATTGTGCTTCCTTTCTCCTTGTCTGTGATGCTTTCCTTCTGGCTAACACATGGCAATGTGCGCACTTCCTCCCACAGCCACCGTCTCAGCATCACACTGGAGTCCTTGCTGAAGAAACAAGTTCCTTCACAAGGTTTTCTTGAGATGAAGAGCAAGGGGATTACGTAGTTATATTTTACAAGTTGATTTTTTGGTTCAGCATAAGATAGAAAAAAATAATTTCCTCGTTGATTTTTATTAAAGACTTTGTAAAAGTATCTGAATGTTGATTCACTGTTGTACAGATTGAGTTAACACTTTCAGGTATCTGTAATATGTTAATGTCAGGAAATGAAGTTAAAATTCAGAGAAGTTATTTTGTGGCTTAGATTATGATGCTTATTTTAAAATTATGCATCTTGAAATGTCAAATGTCTTAATGTGGCGTTTTTGTATATTGAGAATGTTATTAGGATAGTAAAAGGGCTGGTGGTGTATTCTTTAAATGTCATCAGTGTAGCTCTGTCAGGTATGCCTAGCCTAATTTTTCACCTGCTACAGTTGACAAAATCCTGGAGCAGAAAAGATGCCAGAAGTTGCTGGAGTTTATTTTGTTGTAGTAGGCTGCTGGTAGTTGCCCTTTCATACTGGTATGACTGCATACACAGGAGGTGAGGTTTGCTATTCCAGCTGTGCTGGCATAGTTAAATGAACAGAGATTCCCTGTCTAGGTTCTTAGTCTGAAGCACTAGGGCTGTTGCCTTGTCTTGTCTTATGTAGATTACAAGATCTTTGATCAAGGATTTGAAATTTATAGTTCTGTATAAGGGAATTTTTTTTTTTGCGGGAGGCCGGTGGGGAGAGGGTTTAAATCCAAATATGGACTTGGATTTTGACTTTGTAATGCATGAATGCACAAAGCTTCTTTTAAAAGCCTCTGTGCTATGCTGAGAGCTGTGCAAGTTGCTCACAGTACAGATAAAATGATCACAAAAAAAGTGAAAGCACATTGGTTACCACTCCAAAAGTCCCTGCTGCCCAGCAGTGACCTGGGTGGTATGTGAGAGTGCATTTTATTTACACTACACTCTTGAGGTTTGATTGCCTTAGAAGCAGCCCATATCCTTGGTGAAGGTGTCAGAACACACCTGGGAAGCACCAGCCAGGGGCAGGTGAAGGACCAGTGCTTAAGCTTAATATATTATTTGTGGTGATGTGTTTTAGGTCTTAGAGTTACACTGTGTGTTATTGAGCACCCCCTCGTATCGTCTACCTGTGAAATAGGCAGCATCCCCATCAACCCGCAGGTGAAATGGTTTCCTTGACTCAATATGCAAAAGAGATCTTTGTCTTTGCTGTGTTCTGTAAATTTGTGTGCAAAGGGCTTTGACAATGAAGTGCTGTGATGAAAGTGCTATTTAGAGAGCAATGTGACACTGCAGGTTGGCCGTCTCGCTGTGCATTAAGTTTTATGATAACAGTAATGACTCTGAAGCTGGTACTTAGAGCCCTTACTCCTTATTCTGCCTGAGTTTGGGACTAGTAGTAGCTCCAGGTTTGCTTTGCTGCTGCTGCTCTGCTAAGGTTACCTTCTTTAGTAAGAGATTTTTCTTTACTGTGGTGATGGAAGTGAACAAAATCAACTGAAAGGAATCTGATACATTGCAAAAGGCACTTCAAAAAAGATGGGAAAGCACTTGAGAAGCATCCATATGTTGATAGAAATAGTGCAAATCCCTCTTTTTAGTTGCAAGAAATCCTTTTGGACAGACAAAAGGATAAGCAGAACTGCATTTACAGTTAATCTGTAAATACAGGGTCACAGACATCTCCTTTCCATTGTTTGCTTCATATAAATGAGCAATGTAAATTCACTGTAATAAGTGCAGTGTTACTGTGTCTAGATTTTGATTGCTTATAAATCTATAGCTACTATATTTTTTTAATGATTTTAAGAAGTGTGTGCAGGTTACTTGCACATATGCACCAAAGGCTTAATCTTGCCACATTTATCTGAAAAGAGCCCCCATTCAGGTGGGTGGGTATTTTATTTGTGTAGGGACTGCAGAAACAGGCCCAGATATTTCTGTGAAGGTGTACATAGCTGTACAGTTAAGGAGTGATTTGCAAGCCAGAAAGATAATTATTGAAATATATATAAAATAGTCCTTGAGATGAAATACATGTTGCAACATGTTCACTTTCTGATTCATTTTTCAGGTGTTGCTCAAAAAGTGATTGCAAAACTATGGCGTTTGTCAGAAATGCCATATGTAGAAGGGCTTTTGCAGAAAGAAGGACGCTCCTTGGTTTCTGCCATCATTCTTTTGTGTGCTGAGCATAAGAAAATATTCTTTTGACATCATTCATTTGTCTGAATTTGGGGCTGGTTTTGTTTTCCCTTCTCCCATGAGGTCTAAGCTCCAAATGTCCAATCTTAACCTCTGAACAACGGGATATATGAGTGATAAGAAGTGACTGTCAGGTGTGTTTGCTGCAACTAAAGGATGTGTGTAGCATGTTATGCTTTCCCAGAAAAATCCCCCCCACCAATAATTCTGATCTGTCCATGAAGGAAGGCTGTCAGCTGTCTGGTACCACATCCTGAGCTTGAGCTGTAATCTGAGCTCTGCTGCTGAGGATATGAAGCCTGAGACAGGCAGAGAGAAAATGTTATGGTTTAATCCCCAATCCCTCACATTATTTAGGAGAATCCCTTAAGAAGTTCCTGATACTGCATACACTGGCAACGCAAGTTGAGTTGGAAATGATAACTAGGACTGCTTTGACTTTATTGTCGGGTCAACAGAAGAGGCTTATGAATCTGCCAGTGCTGTCATCAAAGGGAAGGAAGTATTTAGCTGGAATAGTTTAGCTGATTGCTTTTGATTCATGAAATCCAACTTTGCTGTTGGACAGAATGGCTTCAATGGCGATAGGGCCATTATAATATTTTAGCATATTTCCTGTGATTGCAGCAGAGTTGTCAAAGCCAGCTCATGAATTGCAAAAGGGAGAACCATGCCATGACAGCAGCAGCTCCTTCTGCTGCTGTCTCAAGGAGCAGAGGCACCGTGCTGAGCAGGTCTGTGGTCTCCTTGAGAAACAATGTGAAGGGAATACAGGAGGCTGCAAGCACAACTCTGCTCCAGAGCCTTTAGTGCCCTGGAATAACACAGCAGAGACAAGAGGTGAAGTTTCACAGCTCGCAGCAATCAGGGGTGGCTCCTCCAGCCCTTGAAAAATCCGCCCTCTTGCAGGCTCGGCTGGCGATGAATTAAAGGTGACTCGGGGTGGCCAGATGTAGTGGATGGAAGGAAATCAGCTCCAAGAATAGTCCCCTCTGTGGGTGTTTGGTGAATCAGTGGAAGGGCTGCTCCTGCTTGGAGGCAGGAGCGCTGGTGGTGACGCAGCTGCGTGGGTGCTCAGCCCTCCCTGGCAGTGAGGAGCAATCTCTGCTGTGTCTGGGGGGAAACTGAGGTGGGGAGGCAGGGAGTCTGTCCTTTCTGATCTTCTGAGGCCAGGGGGCTTGCCCACTAGTCTGCTTGGGTAGTGAATGTGACATGCTCTGGAATGGGCCTTTTTCCCCACCTCACTCTCATTTGAGTGTGAAGAGAGGCTTGGAGCTTTTTACAAGTATAGGAAAAAGGAAACAGAAAAATTCGGCAATCCCTAAAGGGCCAAGCTACCTGGGAAATTCTGGAGTGAGCTGAGGTTCCAGGAATAAAGAAGTCAGTATTTATGCTTAGGGCCTTTACAAAACCCAGTGAAGCGTGTGGAAATTTTGTGTGCTCCAGAAATGGGCCTTGATCATGGGTAAGATGAGCAGCCTCTTTTCCCCCCCTCTCTTGATTTCATACACTTTTTAATATGCTTTAGATACAGTGCAGCAGCAATACCATGTTTTTAATGGTGTGAGTAAAGAACAAGCTTCTCTGGAAGCAGAAGTGTTGTGACTGTCACTCTCCCTTCCAGATTTCATCAATTCATCTTTTCAAACTCATCTATGCAAAGCATTTCATCGTGGTGGTGTAAATCATACATGAGCCCCCTGTACCTGGCAGTATGTATGTGAACCACAGGCCTCAGGAAAAGGGTTTTTTCTGCTTGCTTTAAAATACCAGTGTGGAATTTGTCAGTGATATGAATGTGTTGAAGGCAGGATGCAGCCCACTACCTTTAAAGCCACCACAACATTCACATTTGGGTTCAGCAGAAAGAGAATTCAGGCCTTACATCAGTGCTTGTAAGCCAAGCCAATAACCTGCATCTCCCAAAAAACCCACCCAGATTATTATC